ACCATAATCTAGCTATTTTCCTGCTGCTGGATATTTGGTACTTTCAATTTTTGCTCTCATAATTTTGTAATAAAAAATGAAACCGTTTCTTTAGTGAGGTGGGCAAATGAGCTACTTGCAATGTACGGTAATGGTAGAAATGAGAGGCGGTGCCTTGGACTATCATTGTAGTTACACTTTGGAATTAGTATGTTTTTTTGCTTCAAGGTGAAACATGGCTCAGAGGCATAGCATGCATACTTGCGTACTTTGGCAGAATTCATTTCCTATGTCTCTTACCATGACCTACAAACGTGAGGCAGCAGGACATGAAACTGGTAGTTGCAATTGGAGGAAAGTTCTGAAATATCAGTTGACCCAGGGAAGATGAAGCCATGAAGCCCCAAGCTGGGGCTTTGTGTAGATGCAGGAGGGGTAGTGACTGAAATGGGGATCGAGGGACACTATTGAAAATGTTAAATCTTTAATGATAAACTGTAACAACTGGGGTGTGAATGATTGGAAAGTCAACTTGACTTTTAACTTGAACATTATTACCTCCCAATATTGTAAATTGGCAGTATTCATGGCCCCGATTGATTTTTAGGATTAGATGTCTCGCAGGTTAAAGTAAATATTTGTTTGGTTCATCAGGTGTTACCTTCCCGCTCAAATGAATAAAAATAAATACACTCAATCAGTTTGTAAACATTTAGATGATAAGATGGGTAAACTGCAAGGTGCCTTTGGTGGGAGAAGTATTGCCAAATAGATATTCTTTTCTCCTAGCTGCTTGTTCCAGGTGTATCTAAATATATCTTGACTTAAAAAAGCATGACTCCCTGTTATATACAGCTTTTTTTTAAAGAATGATCTCAAATGAGTTATGTGAATGATTTGACTAAGGAAAGGGGACTATCAGAATTGTTGGTTAAAGTTTGACCAAAACTCAGTAAAGTTTAATACTTACCTGTGCTTGGGGAGTAGAATAAAAGAGTTGTTACTGACTCGAGGAGGATTAACAGGCTCTTGAAAGGCAGGCCTGGAAAAGACATGGCGAAGCCTGGAAGTGTGAAGTGGAACGTGCTGGATGAGACCTCGCAGGACAATGTTGCTAGGGACTCCAAGACCTGGGGGTTTATGGAGTTTCAGCTTTCCTTTGGGTTTTGCTCTTTCCTTGGAGAATATGAGAGCAACTGGCAGGATATTCAGAAAAACTGTTAAAAGAATAAAAGAACAGAACAAACAGTGCAGCAGATTCCGCACCCCCCACCCTGCTAAGAGTTAGATGTGCGGTTTGTTTCTTCTGCTCAGCAGCACCTCCTTACTGGGTCAGTGTAAGATGACAGTGAGCTGTGTTAGGCTGTGCATCTGTGCCTTCTTAGGAGCATATTCCATTGTATCTCCCCTATCTTTTTTTCCTACCTTGGGGATTTGGAATGAAATTTGTAATCCGTGTTAGTGATATAGTGTCCTTTTCAGCTAGGAATTGACAAAAAAGGACAGTTTACTTTCAGTCAGTGTCATTTCCCATTTTTTGGCTAAAATAATTGATGTGTTTGAAGAAAATTCAAACAACATGCAAAGAATAGTAGCAATAACTTTAGCCTACTATTAAAGCTTAGACAGAAAGGTAATAGGAAAACAAGTACCGAATGAAAGTTTGAGTCTGTCTAGGAATACACTGATGTCTTGTTACTATAACCTAATTAAACCCCCTGAATGTTACTGGACAGAGCTGTCCCTTGTGGATGGGACATCCACTCTCTCGGGAAGTCCCCATTCACGGCACTTATCACCCTGCCTGGTCTGTAAGAGCAGGTTTGTGCGGTGTCCCCAGTATCTAGGCAGAATTTGGCTCATAGTAGGTGCTTAGTAAATACTTATGCAGTGACTAAATGTATATTTTGTAAATTTGTTTTCTGAGCAGAAATCACACCCTTAGGGAACATCATAATGAGAGCTATATGTAAATGTTATGAAGAGGATCTTTGGGTTGTGTAAGGGACTGGAAAGGATAAATGTGTATGTGTGTGCATGTTATCCCAGATTGATTATATTATCTACATGAACATGATAAATAAAATGCTGTCACCTGTCTGTGTTCTCATTCCTCCATCACCAAGTCACTGGGATATTAAGGGAACAGTTGGAAGCAGTTACTGATTTAGCCCTGACCTTCTTTCCCTATATCTGTTGCATTATGAGATCCAGCTATTTTCCTTATTAGCCTATCTCCTTAATATTTCACTTCAATATCTTTCTTATTTAGATTTAATATCCAAAATGCTCTCACAAGCAGGTTTTCCTACTTAAATATGCTGAACCCTAGAAATTGATAAATGTTTTTGATCTATATGTCAATGTGAAAAATGAGAGATGCAGTATATTGGGATTTCTGGTTATATATGCTTAAAATAGCAATTCACTGTTAACTTGTATAAAAAATATGGTGCTTTATATAATCAGCATAATCTGTTGATGAAATTGTCAGAAATGGGTGATTATAATCAAGTGAATAAATATGTATCATAGCAAATATTTAAGATATTAAATTTTTATTTTAATTGGAGCTTCAAGATAAAGTATTTTAATAAACTTTTGAGGAAGGATCTGATTTGTCCTTAGGCTTTGATATTATAAACAGTGATTACAACAATATACAAACCTTGCAAAATTATGCAATTCTTTATCCTAAGGAATTGAGAGGTTACTACAACTAATTAAAGATGATCATACATAGATTTATTTTTACCCATCTGTTCCTTCCTTTTGATATATTAAGCAAGTGAAAGTAATTATTAAAATATGTAAATGCAGTTGGAAATTTTAAATATAACTATAGGGTGAAGATAAATTAATATACGTGTACATACATTTTTGCTATCTAACAGAAAATACCATATGAGCTAAATAGTTACGGGAATTTTAAGTTTATGACAGGAAATTGGAATAACTGGTGTCATTACAAGTCATCTATTATTTTATTTTGTTTTAAAAAGTTAAAATTTATGCATATGTAATACCATATATACAATAGCATTTTTAGGCATATTTCTGAATTTCAGCCAATAATCCAGATATCAAAAATTCCTTTTGAAAACATATGGAATTTGACCCAAGAGCAGGTGTAAAATTTTAGTAAAATATGTGCTGTGAAGAAATGTGTAGTAAATGGCACTGTTTCCTGCTTCCAAGTTGGAAGTTCATGACAAAGATGTGGTCCACTGTTCTCAACGGTCCTGGTTGGGTCTATCTCAGCTAAAAAAATAAATATGACTACTTTGCCAACAAAAATAGTCAACTGGGTGATAAATGTGAATGCTATACTGACTGACTGAATTTTTAAATGTCTGTACCTTGCGGGGCTCATAATTCCTTTAGAAAAGTTCTCTTTTATGTTCTCGGGATGCGGAGGGGTGTAGGCCATACATGCCTATCCTTGTAACCAAGGATTCGGCATTCTAAAACTTTTTCCTGCCAGCTGGACTTAGAAAAGATGGTACAATGATGTAGCTAGGATTTCTTCTACACACACTTCAGCAGCCTTGTTTAAACCAGGGAGGTATTGTTGGGCTTTGGTTCATATCTGGATCTGGGCTCTGCTGTTTGTTTCTTTCTTTTTTTAAAATATATCTGTTTATTTTTAGAGAGAGAGGGAGGGAGAAAGAGATGGAGAGAAACACTGATTGGTTGTCTATCACACACACCCCAGCTGGGGACCAAACCCGCAGCTCTGGTCCATGCCCTGATTGGGAATCAAACCAGCAGCCCTTAGCTTTGCAGAACAATGCCCAACCAACTGAGCCACACCAGTCAGGGCTGGGCCCTGCTGTTTGATGCTGGGATTCTGAACTCCTCTATTCCATTTTGAATAATGCTGTGTCCAGGCAGAATTTATTATAAGGAACTGAGTTCTTGGGCAGCTACCAATGGAGGTATCGCGATATTTGCCAACAGATTAAGTTTCCCAGTAAAGGTGGTTAAGAGATTCTTTTGTAAATATGTGAGAGGCAAGTTTGTCTTTGCCTTTCTCCTCTGCTTTCCACTGTTTGATGTCAACTGCCCCCCTTTCCCTGCCCTCATTTCTAGATCCCAGGCTTCCCCTTCTGATAATTAATTAATCCAGTCAGTTATTGTCATTAGACTGACTGGTGGAATGTCATTTGCTTTCTTCTCCCAGGATCCTTTCTTTCCAGTTAGACAAGAAGTTGAACTGTTTCTTTCCACTTTATTAGGTTAAAATTACTTCAAGTGGAAATGCAACTCTTAGCCTTGATAATTCTGAAGATGAGACTTTTTGGCTGGGAGAAAATGTCTCATGCTGTGGTTGGTTAGTGAGGAGAAAGAACACTAGAAGATACCTTCCTAAATTTCACCACATATGGAGTTGCCCATTTACTTATGTGTAGGATAACTAGACATTGTTGAATATTGATGGGTTATAAAATCTTGTGACTTTGGTTAACCTGAGTTGTCTTCTCCCTAAACTCTTTCTCCCCCAACACTTTTATCAATCACCCTTAATGTACAGTGATTGAAATTTTTGCTCAACTATGAATGGTTAAAATACCCACAGAACCGGGAATTTCAAAGTTTAGAAAGAAAAGTTATAATTTATTTGCAACTGCTCTTCACTAGTTCTTAATTCCTGAGGTAGGTCAAGGGACCTAAGTCATGTCAGATGAGAAGCTGGCTTTTCACTGGAGTTTGCTTTTTTATAGTAATGTTCTAACTATGCTCTTCATTCCAACACCATGAAACAGGCAGGGCAGATGTTATATACATTTTATGGCTGAAGAAAACTCAACTCATAGAGGTCCATTACCACAGCCAACAGAGAGCTGGCTAAAACTCCAGGCCACCTGCATGCTAATCTCATGTCTTTCCAGTACATGGAGTGCTAGCCTTCGGTAATCTTGTGGGAAGACTTCCAAGGAGTTATTCTTGGCCTTAGTGCTCTGTAGAAAAAATTCAAGGCCAAACAATCTATTCAGATTGTCCCGTATAAATACATTGCCTGCCATGAACAAGCGTCACTTTCTGGGACCATGGAGGCCATAGGACTTCTCCATTTTTGTTCCCTGATTCTGGCTGGTAAGGACCCTACCTTTTGGTAATTTTTCTTTTAACAAATTTTAAATAAAAACTTTATACAAAAAAACATGGTAAATCAACCTATTTTTTCATATTTAATATCTCTTGTTCTTGATGGATTTCCAAAAGGAATTTAAGGGTTTTCTATTTATTAATAATGACAAATATTTTAATGTATGCCATGTGCTAAGCACAATACATATAAAACAACAACTAACATGCCAAAAGAGATATGCCAGCTGCTGACTAAAAATCTTTACATGTGTTAACTGATTTAATTTCTCCAAATTCCATGAGGCAGGTGCCAGTTCTATTCGTGTTCTGCAGAGCAAAGTACTTTGTCCCAGGACATAGCTAGTAAGTGTTAGAACAGAGATTTGAGCAAGGATCATGTAGCTCCAGGGTTGGTCCAAGACCTTAACCATGATATTTACATATTACATATTACTATATATTCTACATTAACTTAGTGATCTAAGTAATAGGCCGTTAGCTAAGAACTTATAAACTAAACTTCATCATTGCTATTTTAGGTATGATGGAATGAAACCTTTGTCATTGCTGTTTTAAATATGTGGCTTATCTAAAGTTATAGAGCTCCTAAGGTATCAATCAGAGGCATGGTTGACCCTAGCAGCAACTCCCTAAGTTGACTCAGAATATCATAAGAGAACTTGGAAAGGACAGTGGCACAGTGATGAGTCCTTCAGTGACAAGCAGGAGAAATTGAATGGGGAGTTCAGATGGACAGAGAACAGATGAAGTAATAACTTGTGTACGGAGTAATCTGATACATTTGGAGGATAAGCTAGGATAATGCTTAGATATCGATGTGTGAAGTAGTTTATTTCATGTTTGAATTTTGAAAAAGAAAAGTGAGATAATGAGTTTTCTATTTGTTGGAATTGGCATTTGTTTTTGTGGAAAATTGTAAGGACCACCTGAATTATGTGATATAGAACAGTACGCAGTCATCTTATTGCAGTTTACATTCTGCTGGGCATATGCGATTCCTGGCGGTAGGCGGGTACCCATAGTTTCAAAGGGATTCTGAACATTTGTGTTTGAGTATGTGTGTGCTGTATGCAAATGTTTGTGTGCCTGTGGGCAGCCTGGTGAAGTATAACAATCCTTTCTTAGAAACATTTTTAAAATACATAGGATAAAATAAAATACATAAGATTACAGGTGAAATTAATTATATTGAAAAACTCATAAAAATATTTTTTAAATGTGTGACACACCAATAAATGTGCTTCTTTATTAAATCATTAAATGACAGGAACCAGCATCTTGTCTCAAAACTACCATAATTTCAAAGTTATGCTAAATTTAACTAATAGTATCAGATATATATATGACTGTAGCATGATACAAAAATATCTGAAATGTCTGATACTTACTTGTGATAAAGTGATGTGTATTTTGAATGCTACTGTGGTCTGTTTGCCTGTTTCATAAGTAAAGGAAATGTTACATTTCAGTTAGAATTAATGTAAGTAGATATAATTTTCTTTTACATTCAAGTTCATAAATCTCATTACATTTGGTTATTTGGAATCTTAAGTCTCTTATTCTACAGCAGTCTCATCTACCACCTCCTCCCTTTCATGCCATTGATTTGTTGGGGGAATCAAGTTATTATTTATTTTGAATAAAGTCCCACATTCCAGATTTGGCTGATTACTTCTTCATGGTGGTGTCAGTTAAAGTTCTTCTATCCCCAGTATTCTATTCCACTTACTTTTTATAACTGGACAGTATTTCTAGAGACTTGAATAAATTCATATTTAATAATTTTTTCCTGGAATACTTCACAAGTCATGCTGTGAAATTCCTGTAGTATCATGTGAGGAGGCACATGATGTTTCTTGTCTTTCCATTTTCAGTGATGCTAAGACTTCTCAGTGTATGATGTGGTGGCACCTGATCCTGCATTGGGAAGCCCCATCAACTCTTGTTTTATTGTTTTACTGCTCATTGATGATCATTATCTATATATATTATTTCATTGGAAGTTGCAAAATAAGGTCTAATTCTATAACTGGTAAGACATTTACTATCTGGGATTCAATTTTTAAAAAACAATTTTCACCATAACCTACTTCGTAATCTTGTAATAAGGTCTATATAAGGAACACAGGATAATGTATGATTCTTTCTCTTAAGTTATCACTTTTCAGTGTAATCAATATTCAGCTTTTGTCTGGGCAACCACACACAAACACACTATATATTTGCGTGTCTGTCCATTGAAGAAATGTCTTTTATCTTTGGATTTATTCCATCTAATGCCATGGAGAATCACTTCCAGTTGGTACCAGTAAGGTGTGATACTTTATTTCTTGAATATAAAGATATCTTAGGCTCCTCTTATACGTTCCTTACTCTGTCAGGGGTGTCCAACCTTTTGGCAACTCTGGGCCAAACTAGAAGAAGAAGAGTTATCTTGGGCTACACATTAAATACACAACCACTAATGGAAACTGATGAGCAAAAAAAAAAAAAAAGATTTTAAGTAAATTTATGATTTTGTGTTGGGCTGCATTCATACCCATCCTAGGCCACATATGGCTGCTAGGCAGCGAGTTGGACACCCCTGCGTGAGAATGAGTCACTTTCACCAAGGAATGAGTCCTTTCCTTTTAATGAGGAGTGGCAGCTGGAAGACACAATGCTGGTGGTAGAGGACCTTCTTGTTGATGAGTTGTCATTAATTCTAGTTTTCTCAGTGGACAAAGCTAGGAGATATGAATGTTTATAAAAGAGTATGAGTAGTCATTATTTCACACTAACTTCAGATAAAATTCTGATTAAGATTTTAAATTAAAAATGGTATAGTTACATTTTTCTTATGCTGAAATATTGTTTCTTAGAAACAGTAACATAATTACTTATTTTCTTTAGGCTACAATGCATTTATAATACTTTCAAAATAAAAATATCAGTATTTATAATAACAATATGACCCCTGGATTCAAGTTAAAATTTCTTTGTGGTTTGCTGTTTAAATAAATAAACATATATATATATAGCATTAAAGATATAAAAATATTTGCTTTTTGTGTGTGTGGACATGATACTAACATGATAAAATAAGCAGGTACATCTGTTTCAGTATGTGTTAAATTTATAGCAATTTTTTAAACATTTCTTTTAAAATTAATTTTGTTCTTTTGAAAATTCAATTAAAACATTGACAGGACTTCAAAAAAACCATATAACAAGATATAGCTAAAGAGCAATCCTTGTCTCTTCTCCTTGTTCCTTCTGTTCCCAAATGTGTAACTATTTTTGTTAGCTTTTACCCTTCCATCATTTCTATTTGAAATTATAAAGAAATACAAATATATATTGGTACCTCTGACCTCATTTTTACAGAAAAGGTATCATTCAGAAACATTGTCCTGAACCTTATTCCCTTCCTGCTTAGTATAGTCTGGAGATTTCCCTCTATAATATATAGAAATTTCCTTATTTATTTTTTATAACTCCTCTGTCCATAACTTATTTAACTAGTCTTTTATTGAAGGACATTTTGTATATTATTTGCCATTATAAATGATACTTTACCAAATATCTTTGGGATAAATTCCAAAAGAAAATAGCATTTCTTGTCAAAAAGTTAAAGCATATGCAGTTTGTTGGATATTTTGAAATTCTTTTCAACAGTGATTGTGCAGTTTTGCATCCCCACCGGCCATGTCCTGACGACAGTGCTCAGGTCCCAAAGCAACATACTTTCCAATTCGATAGGCACTTCTGAGGCACGTGTTCCATGGGATTCACTTGCAGAAATATAGTTTAGAAATCATTTATGATAAAATAAAAGAGATCAGAATGAAGAGGTGAATTGTATCTGTGTTCAGATATTTCACCTAACTTATGGAGAAAAAGATGAATAATCCATGCTATTTATTGTATTAGTACAATAAAACTCTCACAAAAAACAAAAGTGATGAAAGTGGCACCATCTGCAACACAAACCTAGAACTTTTATAAATAGCAAGCCACAAAGAAAAGAGAATGAAAAAATATACCAATATTGTGGCATTTTTGAGGGTCTAATGTCTGATAGGAAAAAATTGGACTCATTTGAAGTACCGTGTTGTAGGAGATCTCTGTGGACACCCTCTCTTATGGACTGGGAGAGAGAGAGACCTGAGCCAAGAGGACCCCTCCTCCACCTCGGTTCCTGTCTCACTCACAAAAGAATAATTCAGTTGAGAGAAAACACATATAATGGAAACGGCACAGCAAGTTTATTTATAAAACACATATGAGCACAAAGCTGCAAGCAGGCACCCAATAAGTCTAAATGCCCCATGGATAGAGGAAATAAAGTTAGTAGTTAGTGAGTTTGTTTTATACACTTAAGCTGAGGCTACAAGTAGGTACTTAGCTAATGTAAGTATACTGACTACTGGGGCTCGGGAGTTATATACCTCAGCTGCCTTTTAGGTCTCCCCTCTGTCCCCCTTGGGAATAATGTCAGTTAAAAAAGGCTTTCTTTTTCAGTTAGTGAAGGCTCTTTGCCTTAGTGAATTTGTTACAGTGGCTCTCTTTCCCAGCATAGAATCTCAAGGACTACCCCCTCCCCTCCTTCCTGCACAATTCCCACTTGTGACATTCAGGACAGCTGGCAACCTTAGTAAGATTGTTACAGAAGCTCCTTTTCTCAGCACTGTCTCAACGACTCACCCCTCCTCCTGTGCTGTTTTGCTCATAATGCTGGGGACACCCGGCAATCTTATTAAGCTGAGCTCAGGACTGCTGAGTTAATCGGTGAGACATGTCTCTCTTTTGCTTCTACCTTCCTGTATTAAGTTCTTTGTTAGATTGTAATGGCATTTATTCCCCTGCCTTTATTTCTCCTTTGGCTGCTCACTCCTAGCTGCTGCCTAACACCTGGATCACAAGAAAGATGAACAGGTGGGTCCTAGAGCAAATTAAGCCTGAAATATCATTAGAGGCAAAAATGACAAAACCGAAGCTGTCCTATTTCAGGCACATCATTTGAAGGCAGGGTTTTTTAGAAAAGACAACAATGCTGGAAAAAATAGAGGGCAGGAGGAAAAGAGGAAGACCAAATAGGAGACGGATGGACTCCATAAAAGAAGCCAGAGGCATGATAAGGGCTGAGCGGGGCTGTGGAGGGCAGGCCACGGTGAACATCACTCTGTCATGGGGTCTCTAGGGAACTGCAGGTGACTCAACAGCACATGACAAACACGATACCTAGTTATTTTCAAGGAAACATATATAAATACTTCTACACTATTATTTAATTAGAGGACTGACAACTACTCTCCAGTTTATTAATAAAGGAAAACATAGCAAACAGCAAGGCAATTTATGGACTTTTCTGAAATGTATTTGCTAAGATTTTGGAGATGGTAAAGACTGTACAGGCTGAGAATATTAGGAATGGTAAAGTAAAATGTTAATGCTGCATTTTTAAGGGACAAGTTTTCTTTTTTGCTTTCTTTTACTTAGGCTGACAAATATAGAGTACTATTTAATATCTACTAACTATTCCATTCATAATCTTAGCCCTCTGAGAGACTCTTTTTTTATATAGTTCTATCAAAGTCTCCTAATGATAAGTATGTTGTCTAGATATTTTTGCATTTACTTTGCCCTGTTTTCCTTCTTGGTTCAGTTCTGGTCCAGCCTGCTTGTTCAAGTTCATGCTTGGCATCTCTATCCCCACAACTCCGTAAAGACTGTCACCCTGATCCTGGAGCTTCTGAAGCCAGTTGTCTGGCCAGGGATTGCTGCTGGTCTCCGTGGAAAACCCCAGGCGTCCCTTGGTGTTTTGAGAAGGTTGACTCGTGTTCTATAGTGCCTGACTCCCAACGAGTTGACTGTCACCCAGAGGCAGGGGCCAACGAAGCGGCCTGTGTTAAGCGGGGATGCCACTGGTGCGCTTCTGAGAATAGCACTGCTCCCTTTTGTTTCTATAACTCCAAAGAAGAAGCTGCTTGCTCAGCGATAGTTCCCATTCAGAAACGCGTCGACTGCCATCCTCAGCCAGGAGCTTCCCGAGAAATCTGTGAAGCTAAGGGCTGTGTCTGGTGTTCCACAACCATTGCCAACGTTCCCTGGTGCTTCTACCCGGAGGATGGTCCACACGGCTACACTATGAAAGATGTTCCTCAAAGAACAGCCCAGGGATGGAGGTATATATTTTCTACAGCTTTTAATAACCACTTCTACCATCTAAAATTTCTTAGCCGTACCAGTTTGTGTGGTACACATATCACTTAAGAGATTTCATTCTATTTTTATTGGCTATGTCCTGAGAACTCTGAGCCTTCACGGTGAATCCAAAAACCTAAAATACATGAGTTTTTGCTTCCTAATGATTTTGACTTCTAAATCATTGTCAAGACTCCCCTGGTGAAGAGTAGGTTATACCTCTTTCTAGTTTGTCAGTCAGTCGCGTGGGCCCAGCCGGGGAGCCAGAAACACTCAGTGTTTATATTTTGTGTGCTGGGACGATTCATTGCACAGAAGTTGAGCTAAGGTAAAATTTGTCTTTTATGATATCATGACAATCTTTCAGAAAGAAGCCTTTTCTTCTTTTTGTTGCATCCTTTGTGAAGTGTGCCAGAGCACCTAATTTTCAGTGATATGATAGAGAAAGAATGAAAAATTGCTCCCAAACTGCAACTATTTCAGAACATCAAAAATTATACTTTAGCATTGTCAGAGTACTTCCTCTGCTTAATGCATACAAAAATAACTCCATCACACATGATAGGTTTAACTTTTATGAGAACAGAATAGATTGTCATTTTTCCTCCATCAAGTTCTTAAGGGAAAAAAAAAGGCACATTTAATAGGTTAAGTGTCACTTTAAAAAAATACATTCCTGTACTGGTTTTTAGAGACCAGATCTTGATTTTGAAGATATGTTTTGGGGCAATATATAGAATGTACACAATTATGGTATTTACTCAGTTGGAGCTCAGCAGAGTATTATGAAAGTTGACTGTACTTCAATTTCTCTTTGGAATTTATAAGCTATTTCTTTTTTACATTGTAAGAGCAGAGCTTGAAAACTATGTCAAAGTATGTTTTCCATGTATGTTTTTTACCAGGGAGTGATATAAAATGTAATGCTGATGGTGAGGAGTAGGGATTTGGAGGCCCATTCTCTTTAAAGACAAAGATGAGAACTGCCTGTCGGGACCCTGGCCAGCAGCAGACGGGTGGGGCCTGGGCTATGAGGAGCTGATTTATATCAGTGTGAACCAGGGTGGTCTCAGAAATATAACGCATTCCAAATTGAAAGAACAGAAAAAATATCATTGCATTTTGTTTTTATTGCTTGTGGACCTTGCAAATGCTCTATGTGGAAGGCACCAGCCTATTTTTTGGGCTTAAAAATAGAACTCGATTGAACTAACTAACTTACATTATATGCTATTTTCTCTTACTTGAGTTTTTACAGATTTTAGCAGAGACCATCATGGGAAATGTTTTGAAAACAGATTAAAATCTGAAATTAAAATAAAAAGAGCTCAGGAGGAATAAGAGCAGTGAATCATAAAATAAAACAAATAAATATCAGATAAATTAAATTATAACTATATTATATTCTGACTGGGAACAAAGTTTATACAGAAAGGGGAATTGCAACAGAAGCAGAAACAATCTGAGCAATCCAGGGAGACTCTGAACACAGTGTCTTTGCTGTCCGGGCAGCCTTTGGCTTATTCGTAATGTTCACTTAGCCTGGCACTCTCCTCTGGGCCCAGGAGATCTCATTATGTCTCAGTTTGACCATCAGATCATTTGCTTGCTGACCTTATACAACTCCTCAAATACTAGTGGGTTCTTTGTAAATTAGGAAAGAAGGTTCCACAGCAAAACAATGTCAGTATGTGGTGGTGCCTTTCCATGCTAGACCCCAAACTGTGGGCCTAATCCAGAACGTAACCAAGGAAATGGGCCTCTCTCCTTGAGTCTCACATTGGAAGGCTTGGTGGGAGTGGGTGATAGTGGTGATGGTGTTGAATTGGAGATTCTGGTAGCTGGACGTGTGTAGTAGTTTCATATACATTCGTGTAGGGTGAGGAGGGAGGACAGAACTGGGAGGAGAGGGGCTGTGCCCAGGGTTGTAGGTACACGATTGCCTATTGATTATTTCTAAGCTTGATTTTTAGACATCATTGACAACCATCCTAATTGAACATGACAAGAGATTTCGTTCTACTGCAAGGCAGAGTACATGAATATCAACTAAGTCAGGTGGCCATGTTTTGTATTTTGTTGCTGCAGCTTTTCCTATTTTTAGAGATGGATTAGGAAGGAAATTAGTTGATTTTCCTTATTACCATTCCAGTGTTTCATATCTACACCTCAGTGTTTCTGCTGTTAGTAAAACAGTTGTTATCTGAGTTTTCCTTTCCTTGAATGTAAAGTTGTTTATCTCTCTGTTAACATTCTTTTTACCTGAGGAATTCCACTCATTGTAAACATAAACATGCTTTACTTGGGTTAATAGAATTGGTTTATCTTCTAGATTAACATTAAACAAACGTGGCGGTATATCCCTGTTTGGAAATGATATTTCCCCCATTGTAATGGATGTAGAATTTCATACTGAGGATCGGCTCCGATTTAAGGTAAATGTAGCTGATGATCTGCATTTTTCATTTACACAAAGCTTATTAACGGAAAGTTTTAAATGTCATAACATTATTTGATTAAATACCTCACATAATATCCTGATTTGGAAGTAACTACAATTTGCCTTTTTACTTACTGGTAACATTGCAATTAGATTATTTAAAAAAATTAATATACTATATTCTATCTAACCTGTTTTAGATTTATGATCCCAATAATAAACGATTTGAAGTTCCACTCAATATTGAATCTTCCTCAAATGTGCCTGTTGAACCCAACTATGATGTTGAATTTGTAAATGATACAGTCCTTCAATTCAGAGTAATAAGAAAGAAGACAAGAGCAGTATTGTAAGTACTACGCATATTAATATGCTCTTAGTTTTGTCCTTAGAAACAACATGTGGAAAAGTTATGGAGGATATGGGATGAGCAAGCTTAGAATATTAGAAATATGAAGTTTAACTCAAAGCTATGTTTTAGTGTTGGGTATAAAAAATATTCATTTACTCCCATCTTAAATTGTGTATTCAGGAGAATTAAATTATGAGGAATTGAATTATAAGCTATTTTCAGTTTTAAAATTCTGTGTTCCCTTTCAAAATTTAATTTTGTTGGACTGGTACATGGTACATATTCTGGTAGTATCAGCTGTTATTGTATTTATTGTTTCTACTATTAATCATTGATGATATTTTTGAGCATTATGATAATAAAAAACACATACCTAATAATCTAAAGTAATAATCAATCATTTTTTATTAATTTGTGTCTTATCATTATTATGCAAAAATGCAAGTATAGTGCCTGCCAGTATTTGCTTTGGATTTCCATGTATATCTATGTCATCCTGACTGTTCAATTCCTTTCAAGATATATTGGCCTTGAATTAACATGAATTATAATGTGGTTATGTCTATATACACAGTAAAGCTATCCTTGGTTCAATAAGTCAGATGATCAGCTTCTGGTTCTAACAGCACTGCTGCTCTCAGTGCTCATGCCGCCCACTCAGCCATGTTTACTCTACAAGGCCACACTGGGTTCCTGACTGAGGTGGGTTTTAAATGGTCCCAAATACTTTGTAGCCCTTTCTGGTCAAGAGATGAAGTCTGTTTCCCTACCTCTTGATTCTGGGCTGGTCCTGTTTTATGCTTTGACCAATAGAATGCAAGAGAAATGGCATGTGACTTCCAAGATCTGGCCCCAGTAGGCCTTACAACTTTCTTGCTCACCTTCTTGGACCATTTTTAGCATCATGTGATAAAAGTCTACATAGAAAGAGAGGCCCAGCCATTTCACTTATTCCAGCCATTCAGGCGAGTCCTCTGTCCTATGAGTGAGACCCTGCTATGCCATCCAACCACGGTGAGGCTGACATCTGGTTCCTTTCTGACCACAAGGTTCACCAATCCCAGTTTATGTCCATATTAGAAGTAAGACCAGAGTCATTGCCTACTAAATGTTCATGCTAAATTTTGGAGTAGCTTGTTATGTAGAAATTAATAACTAAGAGGAAAATGTGTTATAGTAGCATTCCCTAGCAATGGGCTGTCATTGGTAACAAAAACAAATCATTTGTCACTGGCTTTGGGACCCAGTGACAAGCAGAGGCTGGAAAATGGTGAAGAGGTTTGTGGGGTGGTGACCAAATTGTTAATGGAAGCTGAAAGGATGGCCATGTTTTATACTTTTGTCTATGGTAATTTCAAAGCTAGAAGAGATATCTAGTGAACTTGTGTATCTGACAAAGGAGACTTTCAGGAGATTTCCAACTTGCCTGTTAGACAACAGGAACTTTACTGTTCTGCTAATCCTTTGACCTTTCAATGTTCAGAACCTAACTTCGTGCTTCCACATCCTGCCCACATCCCCCATAGCCCTCATTTATGGATCCTACGTCAAGCCAAACTGGATTGCTGCTTTGCTATTTCTTGGACCTACCCTGACCTTTTCTTTCTTTCTTCCCACATTTATTCAGACTATTTTCTCTTTCTTGAAAGCCTGTGTCTCCTGCCTCTGCTTATCACAATTCTTCTCCAGTATAATCTACTCTTTTTATAAAGTTTGCCTGACAATACTTCCATACATGGAAATGACCTCCCTTTCTTTTTAACTTAAAAAGAACCAAATCTGTACTTTTCTTTAAACTCTTATACTATATTTCACATCATATTCATTTCATCTTACTATCTTATCTCCCTCTGGGTATCAATTTCCTTTATGGTAGAATCAATGTCTGGTTCATTGTTATGATTTTTATATTTTGAAGCAAGCAGCAAATGTTCAATAAGTAAATATCAGTGAATTCTTACTTGTCCACTCTCCTGTAAGTACATTTTAGATGTGCTGAGAAATAGCAAGACACAATTAGACTGTAATTAGAGGAATATGGCATTTCTTCACCAAAACTGAAGAGAGTGCAGAAAGTGTCTTAAGAAAGAGGGTGTGAGCAATTCCACCAAATGCTGCTGATAGATTAAATTGGATGAAAACTGAGAATTGAACATGGGTTACACCAACATAGTTCATTCCTCATCTTTAACAAACTTTTTTATTGCGGTGAAGACACTCACCCTGAGACCTGCCCCATTGACCAGGTCCTCACTGAGCAGTGTGGGTCGGTGACCGCAGTCCAGTGCGGTGGAACAGGTCTCCAGAGCTCAGTGTTCGCTTTGGCAGCAGCAGCTCCAGGGGAGCTGGGCGGGGGTTCAGTAAGCGTGGGGAGAGAAGTTGGAAAGATGGAGGGTAAGCGGCTGCTTTGGAAAACGTACTTTTAAGAAAGAGAGAAATGGAGTGAAATGAGGTCATGAAAGAATGTCAGGGTTTTTTTTTTTCCCCTTAAGATGAGAAAAATAGCAATGTGTTTCTATTTTGTTATGAAAGACCATATAAGAAAAAGCAGAGAAAAGGCTAGAGTCAGTGAGTCACTGGAGGAGTTCGTCTGAGGAGCACAGGCAGTCCATTCATCCTTCCAGACCAGGAGGCGGAGCTGGAATACACGGGCCCAGAGCTGTTGGCTTGGTGGCTGCTCCAGGATGGAAACCAAATTCTTTTGAAATTGCATAGCAACGGGTGTTGGGGGTCCAATGCATTTAGATTGAGGGCTGAAAAGAGCGATGAGGGTCTAGCCTGTTTGTCCTGTCCTTCCACCTTTTAGGCAAATGTCCCAGCTGCCTGAGGTCTGGTTGTTGAGGCCATGGGTATGAACGTTGCTTTGGTACCCACTCTGGCTGAATGGGAGCCTGTGGAGGCCAGCTGCCCTGACGCCCAGTGCTCTGGCGTGCGCTGCAATTCACATTTGTGGTAAACACCACCTTCTCTATCCCCGTACCCACCCCACTCCCGTCAGACAGCTTTGTAGAGAGGGCTTTCTCCAGGGATGTGAGAGTTAGCATGCACCTAAGGGAGAGTAAAAGATTGAGCTTCTTATCACTCTGTATAAAACTTTCCCATATAAACGCTGAATACATTTTGTTACACCTTGTATTTTCTTCAGGTGTATATTAAAAATATTGTTTTCTCAATATCCACTTGGTGTTTGTCATTGGGGATAAGGAATAATAAAGAAAACACTACCCACTGTCAATAGGACTAACTAGAACAACTGAGAGAATGAAAGAAATGCAAATAAAGGTATGAGGAATGGAAAAGGAAATTTAAATTCTGACAGGACAATAAGGTTTCAGGGAGGAGTGGTTGTGGTGAACGCTTTTTTGTTTAAGGGAACTATAAAAGAAAGGCACGAAAGAATAAAAAGACTGGATGTCTTCTGGTTTAAAAAAGACTGGTGTGATAGGAGGTACAAGGAGGAACTATGACATGGTTTTATAATGTGAATCAGTACATAGCTCATGTGATGGTGTAGGGAAGGAAAAGCTTCCCTTGACCCTCTTAGGGTTCCTGGCTGGGACTGAAGAGTAAACTGACAGATTAACAGGAGAAAAGCATAAAACGTTTTTGAATTTGTATATGTTACATGAGAGCTTTCACAAGAGAATGAAGACCCAAAGAAGTGATAGAGGAGGAAGCTTTTATACATTTTAGACAAAAAGACAATAACTTTGTGAAGAATTGATAAGACAAGACAGAGAGGTTGTGACTGGGGGTTAGTCAATGGTAGAGAAGTAGCTAGGAGATAAGGGTCAGTTTAATGACATTTATTTATAGATTTTTCTGGCCCCAAATTCCCTGTCTCTGGTGATAAGAATGTCTACCTTCCTCTAGTCTAGGTACAGTGTGGGCATCTTTCACATGGGGGATTTATGATGCATTTCAGGGAAGAACAGTGAGCAGGAAAAGGTTAGAGTAACTTTTCTGTTTCTACCACTTCTCCAAACTCTTCAGCTTAAGATATGCAGTATGCCCAGGCACTATAATTTGGGTTAGTGTGCCCTGAGCCTCGGCAATAGAGGACTCAGGAAGTGGAGGTGGTGCAGGGTCCTGCATGCCTTGTTACCCTATTTTCTTCAGTTATCACCTACTCACCAGCTGCTGGCCTCGCAGTCATTGTGTAAACTGATCTGACTCTGGTGGAAACACTCTATTTTAATCGACCCTCCAGGGCATGGTAGTTACGAAGTCCTTCTTTCCTCCATTCCCTCCTCTGTCAGATGTTTATTCGATACCTCTTACATGACAACATATTCATTTTTAAGAGCTATGCAGCAATTTTAATGGTTCATTAGTGATAAAAATTTATTCCATTTTATAGCAGTAATCCTGAGTTAAAAAATGATTTCTTTAAATGTATTAAAGAGAGTTTTGGGGGTGAGGTGAAGACGTCGTGGTGCTATTGATATTTCTTTTGAAGTTCTAGGGAGATCCTTCTACTTTGAATTAGCAAAGATTGCTTCTAAAAGTTTATTTCATATCAATAGCTTTTATAATAAGTAGGACTGAACACACCAATATCAATTTATAGTGAACGGGAATATGTCAACATTAAACCTTGGGACTTTGAGTATTATGAATAATGTGGTTGTAGATATTCTGGAAAGTACTCAATACTATTAATTTTAATACACATGATCAGAATTCCATCATCTGTTTATATATCTGAAAGATATGCCTTGCCTAGACCAACTCTTTTCCCACATTCCAAAAAGATATTTTTCCCTTGCACAAGCCATAGCATGTGCCACTGTGCTTAGTTGAAAAGCGAGATTACATATAAGAGAATTTCTGATGATAAATGTATTACGGAGAGCTACCTCTATGGTAAAAAACAAACAAATAAGATAATGAGGAAGTTCTATTTCACTTTTTATGAACTTTAATTTTTAACTGATCTACTCAGTGTTCTTGATAAAATTTTTAAAAGGGAAAGTAATATGGTATTATTTAATTTTATTTTTCATCTGGTATTATTTTAATCACACTAAAATTATTTTAGTTTTATTTGAACAATGAGAATGCATTTGAACAGTGTATTTGAATGTCATTTTAAAGCTCAATCAACATTGTTTGCATAATGCTATATCTTTTTTTTACTTATTATAGTCTAGTTATTCTATTTTTAATGTTTAATGTAGGTAATTTCTAAATAAACAATGAAATTTGTTTCTTTATTCAGAAACTTTTTCCTTCTTTTGCCTTATTTTATAAGCATAAATATATGTTATATATAATTATATATATATAAAATCAGTGTTCATGATTCATGAAGGGGAATGAGAAATGGGAATGAATATTTGTTAACATGGCTTATGAAAATCTAAGGACTGAGTACCCTCTGAGTGGTGTTAACCTTTTTAGAACATTGGGGACCATAAGAAGAAGAAGATAAAGGACTGATGCAGTTTATGCCTCTCAAATCAGTCATTCCAGTCTTAGTAAACTGCCGATAATAACTCACAATGTGCCACAAACTTCTGACAATCTAGTTCTTTCAGTGATTAGATTTTTAAAATTTTTTGCCTAATGAAAAGGGTATAAATGTGCATGTAATAGAATATATAGGAGGTTGCATCTAAGGTTTGTCAGATATTTAGAACTAATGAGACCTGTAGCAGGTTTGAGTTCTATTGCCTTATATAAATAAATGACACTTTAGATAAAACCAAGAAAACCACGTGCTTCTATAAATAGTAGCATAGACTGATATTTGAAGAATCATTTGATAGTGTACTACTAAAGCTTAATTGATACCTTTTTTTACATTGAAAAGTCAAAGCCAATGGATTTTTCTGAGAGATAAGGTTACCTTAAAGGTTTATGGCAAACTGAGCTAGAAAGTAATTCCTTTCCTCTAAGAAGTGGTTACTCTTCCTTAGAGATAGGCTCCATTATGGCTATAACTGCTGTGGCCATGTCGAAATGCTTCCATGATAGTTAATAGCCATTCCCTGAGCCGGTCCCGTGTCCCTTCTGCTGTTCTGTTGCTTTCCTTAGCCCCTCCAGCAGGACCCGCAGGTCTCCCTACATCTTTTAAATGGCTAAGACCTGTCCTCTCTGGGGTCTTGGGGTCCCTGATTCAGCCTTTGGTCCACAGGGGCTCTGATTGTTCACCATGTGCTGAGCTAATTTTTAATAATTTGAGTATAATCCTTTCAAAATCTAGGTAATTTTTAAAGTAATTTTTAAACAAGTTTTCTTGTTTATTAGGGTCTGAAAGTGCTGTATTTAACTAAGAACACAAGAAAAAAGACAGTAAAGGCTTTTTCCTATGCGGAGCCCAGTCGACACCTACTATTACTTTTCATACTCTGTACCTCACCTGCTCATCCTATTTCCCCCGAAACCTTCCCTTTCTGGGGCTGTGACTTGTGCCCTGTTCTGCTCCTATAGCAACATGTATTTACTTATCTCCATGTATCCCACTGTGTTGTAACTACCTAGTTGTTCCCAACTCTTATTCCTTGGAGTATTTCTCCAGTGCCCAGTGCAAGACACTCAGTAAATCATCCCTGAATGAGAGGAGGAGGGAAAAGAGAGTGTGAGAGAGAAACACTGAAAAAGCAACAATTTTAAATAAACATAGTTAAGCGTTGCTACTCAGCAGGGCATGAGAACTCTCCTCTGGCGGGGAACTTAGACTCACCCACCTGCCTCCCCTGTAAACAGGGCTAGAAACTGGAGCATGGGAGAGACTGGGATGAGGTCAGTGGGTCTGGACACAGGATGCGGCCTCCCACCTGTGACTGCTGTGCTGTCACCACCTCCACCACCCCTCTCTCCCTTCCCTTTGACTTAACCTTGGCTTTCACAATGTAAACAGGTGTTCTAGAACAAAAGGTTTCAGAAAATGTCAGTGCTGCAGTCAACTCTCAGAGATTCACTCTGTATTGCTCCTTATTAAGAACTCTGAAAAAGTTCTGCAGAAGAGAAATGTAGCTCAACATTTCCCAAGTTTTATTTGAACACAGACTACTTTTATTTCAAGAAAGACCTACTTCCATCTCAACAGATAAAATGCTGCACAAAAATTTGAGCAGCAAAACTGACTGAATCTTGGCACTGTTATTTCAGTAATTTTAGGCAAGTCATGTAACTTGACTCTGTCTGAGGCTCAGTTTCCTCGTTTATAAAATGGAATAATAATGCCTTCACAGGGATATTGTGAGGGTTAAGTGAAATAGCACATATGTTATACCCAGCATTTAGCAAATATTCAGTAAACATGAATTACCATTCCCTCAGATCCCCCACATCCCGTTTTTATTTTCTCCTCCCCCTTTAAGCTAACTTTATAGGATTTTTCTTTTTGGATAGGAATTTAATGGAGAAAAGAGTTTTTATGAAAGTTCCACAAACTTTTTTAAAATAAAAAAGCCACCCAGTCACTGTCTTTCTGCTTCTCTGTCCATCACAGGTGGGAAACAACTCTCGGAGGCCTGATATTTTCTGACCAGTATATGCAAATGATGACCTCTGTCCCGTCCACTTCGATCTATGGATTTGGTGAACACGAACATCCATCCTTTAAGCATGACATGAATTATGTTAGATATGGAATGTTTTCCAGAGATCAGTCACCAGGGGTAATGTGTGAATAGAGATTCTTAATACTAGGAGTTTGTTTGTTACAAGAGAAAGAGGACATGAATAGTAAGAATAATTTTCTATAAGGTGCTATAAATGTACTCTCAGAAATCATTTTGGTTTATACTTAAGTGGTGATAAAGGCAAGTTTGAAATTTTACATGTATTCATGTTTTCATTAGTTTGCCTTTTACCCCCATAACATATATTATGCATTTTTTCTTTTTTGACATCACTAATTGCTACTGGATCTCATTGAGATAGGATAATAAAAATTCCAATAAATCATAAAAACACCATATTTCTTTTTGTGTTGCAGGCATTTAGCAATCTCTATGGAGTTCATCCTTTTTATATGTGCATTGAGAAAGACTTTAATGCTCATGGTGTTCTCCTCTTGAATTCCAATGCCCAAGGTAACATGATCCTCTGGTTAAATCCTAAAACAGCAAGTGCATAATGTAAATGCTATTTTTGCCCTTTCTCTCTTTAAAACATTCCTATTAATTAGAACAAAATAGAGTGAGAGATTATTTATAATTTAATATTTTGCTTCAAAATGGAAACTTTTTAGTGAAAAAACAGTCATCCTAATAAATTACAAAATGCTATTAAGACACACAGTACTAAAGACACCAGAAGCCCTTGAACAAGCAATGTTAGAAATTTCACAGTAATGCAGTGTTGCTGGATCTGCCATATAATCTCAGCAATGTAAACATTGCAAAGTCCTCCTTTCTGCATTTAATTAGTCTAGAAATATTTGAAATGCATTACCTCTGCAGCAGCTTTTCTTAATTTTGCACCTCAGGTTTAATCAATCGCTCTCTCTCTGTCGTGTGTGTGTGTGTGTGTGTGTGTGTGTGTGTGTGTGAATGCAATGATAGATATAACTGACGTGAACTTTTTAGAAAAGAAAACCATGAACAAACAGACTTGGAAAATCCTGGCAGACACTCAGATGCTGTCAGAACTATCAATAGTGCCTAGTATTAGATAATTAGCCTTGGTTGCGTCTAAATGGTAAACGTATTAAAATAGTGGTCTCTTCCTCTTATATTATTTGTGCTTATTCTCTATTTTGCTTTGTTCTCTTCAGATGTCACTCTGAGCCCATTTCCGTCTTTAACATTCAGGACCATTGGAGGAATACTTGATTTCTACATGTTTCTTGGCCCCACTCCTGAAAACGTTATCCAGCAGTACACAGAGGTGAGTATAGTCACATTGTCATTGTCCTGGCTCCGAGGAAAGGAGGAGCAACTAACACCCAGTCCTTTAACACTTGAATCTCCTGGCTAATTGTTCCTACACTTAGGCAAAGCCTTCTGTCTTGGTTATAATTTCATCTCAGCTCTATTACTTCTGATCTGTCATACTCTATGTCACTTGACTCTTCTCCCAAAGGATTCATCTCCTGGCCACTTGGTTCACTGGGGCTTAAGAGAACTGGGCTTTGAGGAATCCATGTTTGCAGGAAAACTTTCTAATGGGACAGAACTCATGAGAAACTACCCAGTAGTGACCTTAATTTATCATCCGCACTTACCTTTCTTTTTGCTCTTCTTCTAGATCTTTCCTTTTTGGATATAGGGGGAGACACTTCACCTCTGTCCCCCTCCCATATATCTACCAGGCATATGGTATACAGATGTAGCCAATGTACACTGCCAATTCATTGCTCATTCCTCATCAAACCTGTCATTCCTTGAAAGATCTCTCTAGGGTGAACTGGTCAAATATCAGAATCCACAGGGATATCTGCAGTTCCAAATAGGATCCTTTGTAATTGAATAACTGTCTAACAAAATAATTGTAGGCTTTGTAGGTGGATAGGAAAGGTAGGGTGTTTTGGGCCAGGGAAGGGCCTTAGCAGAGCTGTTTAAATAAGTTATGGTTGTCAATGAATCTGATCAGCAGGCAATTCAAAATGCAATGACAAAGACCTTTGCTGTGATAATCATGGGAAGAGGAAATATCCTACCAGGAGATTTCTCAGTTCTCTCAGAGATCAGGGCGTGCCTGACGGAGGTGCCTGGGCCAAGCGGGAACAAGGCCTGCACTGAATTTTGTGGTTTCAAGGGATCTCATAAAGATGCATCTCTTCTCTTTTCCAAAGTTGACAGAAGCTTCTCTGTGGGGTTTAGAAAAGACAGGATTGAGAATGGATACAAGAGGGGTTGTGGACAGGGCTACATAAAGCTAACAGTGACAGTCATCCTCCTGTTTCTCGTTGCTTCCTTATTTCAGTCCTTCCTTCCAGGGGTACCTACAGCAGGGGGTTTGGGGAATGGAGTGGTGACCCATGCGCCCAGCTCCTCTGCCTAGAATAACCATGGTTTGATTCCCAAAGCCTCTGGAATAGCTGGCAAAGGTGGTAACAAGCATCAAGCAAAAGTTCCTCCCATTTAACTTGTCTCCTGGGCAATCTCTCACTTCCCTGAAGAGCTGCCCCAAAGTTGACAGCTTAAAAAAAAAAAAGCTTTTTTCTTTCATCTTATTGTCAACTAGTTGTTGATAATATAAACTTCCCTTAGCTCACTTAGTACTCTGGAGGAGGTGATGACTGGTTATGTGTATATATGTACAGCTTGGGTTTGTAGTAAAAACACCCCTACAGATGGTCTGGGTTTGAATCCTGTCTACTACTGATGTGCTGTGTGATCTTGGGCAACTTAACCATCCTGTGCGTCTCATTTCCTGCATCTGTAAATAGGGATAATTACAGTACCCATTTCATAGGATTGCTGTGAGAATCAAATGTGATATAATACACATAAAATACATCTAAATCACCCATGAAGCTCCAAAAATTCCATACAATAAGCACTTATTAAATTTCTTTGTAGCTGCTGACTTTGTAGCTGCTTGGAATCCACTCGTTAGTCCTTCGAAACAGTATTTCCTGGTTCACTGCTAACCCTTCTGACTTCTTTTTCCTAATCTACTGACAAACTTTTTATTCAGTCAGTAAATGTCTGTGTTCCTCAGAGATCTGTACTCTTCAAAAAGAACAGTTTTTCAGCAGTGACATCACCCACTGTGCATGCCCTGATGAATCACCTGTTCCTATCTCTAATCCAAAGCTTTTCCCTGAACTCCAGCATATTTATCTTTGTCTATTGAAAGTGTGTACTTCAGGCCCCACGAGCACTACGACAGATTGTACCCAGGATTAATAATCTTTTCCTAAACTGACTTCAACTAGATCTTCTGAGTTAATGGAATCATCAAGAACCCAAACATCCAAACAAGAAACTTAAAAATTATTTTCTTCTCTATCCTTCATTGCCTTACAGCCCATGGATTGAATGTCCTTTTCTTCCTCTCTCCAGCATTCTTGCCTTAATAAGATTTCACCTTTTCTCCTCAGAATGTTATAATAACTGGGGAACTGGTTTTCCTACTTCCTGTTTGGTTTTCCTACAAACAATTCTTCATTCACACTTTTGCCAGGTGGATACTTCTAAAAGGCAAACTCTTATCTTTCACCTCTGTTAAGCACCTAACCATTATCTAAAAGCACCATTGTCAAATAGAAATACATGGATTACAAGACACATTTGTAATTTAAAAAATTTTAGCAGCCAATTAAAAAATGTAAAGACAGGTGGAACTCATTTTAATAACATATCCAGAATAGTATATTTCAAACATGTAAAAAATAACCATGAGGTATTTTATATATTTTATTATACTAGGTCCTTGAAATCTGGTGTGCATTATTTTATACTTAATATCACATCTTAATCTGGGCTAGCTGTATTTTGAATGTTTATAGCCACACATGGCTAGTGGCTCCCAAACTAGTCTATACAAGACTAAAGGGTAAAACATCCAAATTAATTTGCTTGGCTTATGAAGATTCTTAATTAACAGCTCCCATCTCATGTCAACAGCATTATCTCCCATCAGCTTATTTTCAAACTCTACACTCCAGCCCTACTGGAAATTTTCAAGGTCTCCTGTGTTCTTAGCACCTATGCTTTCCCTTTCCTTGGAAGAACTCCCATCTCATCTACTCGGTGATCGGCTTGCTCTTTACACCATCTCCTCTGTGAAATCCTCCCACTGCTGAAGACCGAGACCCCCACTGTGCTTGCACACTCCTGGCTCACACACAGTATAGATGGAAGCTTTGTTACCTACTGTCTTCTATACCTGCCTTTCCAACCAGTCCAGGTCCTCTCTCCAGTCTCATGAAATCAGAATTTATCCTTGGCTGGAGTGATGAAGAGGCATATTTGAATCAGTTTTTTGTTTCCTTGCTTTAACCATGTTCTGACCAATTGATTTTTGTTATTTTGGCTATAGGTTTCAAACCCACATTTTCTAACATAAACATTCAAAGTCACATACAATTGTGTTATTGATAGTTGTTTCACATTATTTTTATAATGCTAAAATCTCAACAAATTAATCTTGAGGAAAGGAGACTATGTAGAATTTCAGTTAATTAACTTACTGGACATTTTTTATTTAATTAGTTTTTCTTTACTCCTCAGCCATAACATAAATGACTTATAACAAATTTTTAGCATACTGGGACATTTTAAAAAATCTTCATTTATATTATTACAAAGAACATCTATGTTTCTAAATAAGCATGCCCTTAGTATTCTGGATTGTTTGAAATGAGGTCAAGGAATATTTTTCTGAATAAGTTTATTCTTAATTACACAAGTACTATGCAAATTTTTTCCCCTTGTAAAAGTACCAAATGATGCAGAAGTAAATCCTCAAATCCTCCTGCCTTTGGCAGTAACAACCACTTTTACTAGTTTTCCAAATATCCTTCTAAAAATTTACTATACATTTATACATACATATGTATTTTCCACTTCTCTATAAATAGGATCATGCTAGAACTATTTTTTGTAACATGATCTTTTGATTTACCTCTGTTAGAGGTCTTGCCATATAAGTAGTTACCATTCTACATAATTGTTAGGACATAATTTTTAGAGCAGTTTTATGTTTATAACAAAATTGAAAGGAGGTACACAGATGTCCCATACTGGCTGCCTCTCCACATACATAACCTCCCCGATTATAAACACTGCTCACTAGAATGGTACATTTGTTACCAGGGATGAACCCACTTTGACATGGCATAATCACCAAAGCCCATAGTTTACCTAAGGGTTCACTTTTGGTGTTGTACATTCTATGGGTTTGGACAAATATATATTGATATATATCCATTGTTATAATATTATGCAGAGTATTTTCAGTGCCCTAGAAGTCCTCTGTTCTCTGCCTATTCATCCCCCATCAGCAGCCATGTCTCCATAGTTTTGCCTTTTTCAGGATGTCATATGGTTTCAATCACACAGTGTGTATGTAGCCTTTCAGACTGGCTTCTTTCACTTAGTAATATGCATTTCAGATTCCTCCATGCCTTTTCGTGACTTGATAATGTATTTCATTTTAGCACTGAGTGATATTCTATCATCTGAATGTACAATAGTTCATTCATTCACCTAATGAAGGGCATATTGCTTGTTTCCAAATTTTGGCAATTATGAATTAAGCTGCTATAAATATCCATGTATAGGTTTTGTGTGGACATAAATTTCCAGTTCTTTTGTGTAAATACCAAGAAGTTCAATTGCTGGATTATATGGTAAGAATATATTTAGTTCAGTAAGAAATTGTCAAACTCTCTTCCAAAGGGGCTTCCAAACCAGTAATGAATGAAAGTTCTTTTTTTTTTTAAAGATTTTATTTATTTTAGGGAGGGAAGGGAGGAGAGAGAGAGAGAGAGAGAGAGAGAGAGAGAGAGAGAGAAACATCAATGTGCGGTTGCTGGGGGTTATGGCCTGCAACCCAGGAATGTACCCTGGCTGGGAATCGAACCTGGGACACTTTGGTTCCCAGCCCATGCTCAATCCACTGAGCTACGCCAGCCAGGGCTTGAATGAAAGTTCTTGTTGCCCTATATCCTCATCAGTATTTGATGTTGTCGGTATCTCAGACTTTGGCCATTCCAAAGGCCAGGCCATAGGTGTGTAGTGATATCTCACTGTTGTTTTAATTTGCATCCCCTCATGACATATGGTGTGGAATACATTTTAGAGACATATTTGCCATTTGTATATCTTCTTTGGTGAGCTGTTTGTTAAGGCCTTTAGGCCACTTTTTAATCAGTTGCTTTTTTTTCTTACTGTTGAGCTTTAAGAGTTCTTTAGATATTTTGGGTAATTGTCCTT